TTCGCGGTGCCTATATCTTAAAAAACCATGAAATGTCTAGTACAGAAGACAAGCAGTTGATTGATTTCATTTAACTTCCCAAAGTTAAATTTTTATAGACTGTTTGGAAACACTTCTCAAATGGACTCTTGAGTGCAGTGTCCATTTGGGTTATATGTTTGGTGGTAAATTAAAAATGTATTTATGGCTAAGTTGCCTCTCCCAAAAGTAAGAAATAGACTTTTACATAAGTTCTCCCAAACAAGCACTTAAAATTCTTAAGATCGAGACTGGTAGGTACTTTCCGTTATACAATTGTAAGGGGATGATATGTCGTATGATTGTGAAGTTGTGTTTCTAATTATTCTTTCTGAAGGCTTGATTTTATTGTGATCAAATAAGTATTTGATAATTAATGATACTCTCACTGGCAAGTATTCTAAGTGTGTATATATATGATACAACGACAGCTCAAAGAATGCAGCTTGCCAGTGTATACAAAGGCGAAGCTGAGAAGATTCTCCAGGTGAAGAAAGCAGAAGCAGATGCCGAGGCCAAATATCTCGGCGGGGTTGGGGTGGCCAGGCAGAGGCAAGCGATTACAGACGGGCTTCGCGAGAATATTCTGAATTTCTCACACAAAGTGGAGGGCACCTCGGCAAAAGAGGTTATGGACCTTATAATGATCACACAGTATTTTGACACGATTAAGGACCTTGGGAATGGTTCGAAGAACACCACGGTTTTCATACCTCATGGGCCGGGCCACGTTAGGGATATTGGAGAGCAGATACGTAATGGGCTTATGGAGGCATCGTCAGCACACGTCAGTGCCGACCTAAACTAAAGCTGTTTGTCTGTGTGAATATGTGTTACACACGAGTTCTCTGAGTGTTTTTATAAGATTCGTATATGGAGATTTTGGGGGAGACAGAGTAATAAATTCTGCGTTGTTTCACGATGCGCCTTTGGAAGGTGATTTTTTGTTTTTCGTTTTTTTCAGACTTTTATGTTTATGTCGATGGTATTTTGTGTGACTTTTGTGGTGTGGTAATTAGTGACGGATGAAATAGGAGATCCATTTTGCAGTAGGCTATGTGTGCATTGGTTTTTTTTTTT